TGGTGGAAAATTTAAAAAAAAAACTTAAAGAACACTCAACCACGTGATGATTATAAAGAGTTTGGGCAACTAGCTCTTCTCCTTTTGGGAGAAATTAATGATACAACAAGTATTCGCACTCCTGGGGCTTACCATTGTGCAAGATGGATGGCTAAAGGAATATACTGATTAAAAACTTTTGGTTTTCGCCATCAATTAAATGTCACAGATAAAGAAATTCGGATTTTAAGAAGAATTTGTCTCTTCATAACCACAATTTATGTATGTTTCTCGTTTTCAGCACCTCTCACAACAGAAGCACCAAAAAATGATCTCCTTTTTTTAAAAGTAATCGAGAACTATTGTCAAGTTGACAGCAAAGTTGCAAATGTTGCAAAAAATAAAATTAAACTTCAATTATGGTATTTAAGTGAAGATCTAGCTGCTCTCCCATTATTCAGTGAAGAAATTTCTTTTGAAGAGAAAATGGAAATTGTAAATGCCTTACAAAAAGAACCATTACCAGGTGACAATAGAAGACTTACTTTAAACAAGATTTATACATTCTCTAAACTTTCTATAGCTAACATTGTTACACGACGCTCAATTAATTTGTTTGACTCTCTCAATCTACCAAAAGAATTCTTGACATCGTCTTCTAAATCTTGGGCTAATTGTGATGACTACAAGACTGCTTGTAAGATTGTTCGTGCCATGAAAATGGTTAATGACTGTGCATAACGGGCAGTTAAATTAGCCACTGACTTTAATGAAGTTTTGACAAAAAATGACAATCAACATCAGCTTCTTTACCAAGTAGTTGAGTATCATAGAAAAAAAATTTCAACTGAAGCTACAAAGAGGCAGTTAAGCCATAATCATACTAAATAACAGCAATTTAATCTATTCAAATATGCATACATATAATATGAACTAAATATATAGTTAAGTACATATATGGCTATTGTTTTTCTGTAGTATTTAAATTTAGTAATATGTCAAGGTTTGATTAAATTATGTATGTTATTTTATTAGAATAATTTTAAATGTTGTTATTTGTAATATGTTTTCTTGATCGCATAAAATCATATTTTTCTTTCTTTTAAATGTTTTGTTTGAGTAAATTATATTTTGTTATTTTTTAATTTATAAATTTGAATTAGGGTTGAGTTAGAAATGACTAGTAGAGGGGCATATGGGGATCTAGTTTGGGGCATATGGGCCACTAGTACTCACAATTTAAAAAAGTGAAGAAATGTTAAAAAATAAGAATTTTTTTTAAGTTGTTATAACAGCTTTTTGTATTTTTACTCCCCTTCCCCTTGCCCCAAGTTACCTCTGCTACATACATTCATACGTTTGTCTTCACCCTGATAAGTAAAATTATTGCATGTAGCACTGACAATAGTTTATTCTAATGCGTTTTAGAAAATTATCATTTTCAACAAAAACGGGCCTCAAAAGGGCTTAAAAAACATGTCCGGGTCCTAGTGCCCTGAGTGCAGACATCATCAGTTTGAAAAAAATTTTTATCAGTGAACTTTTTTTATTGAACCTCACTAAATAAGAGGGTGTGCGATATCAATTTCAAAAAAAAAAAAAACCACCCTAATATATATATATATATATATATATATATATATATATATATATATATATATATATATATATATATATATATATATATATATATATATATATATATATATATATATATATATATATATATATATATATATATATATATATATATATATATATGGTGGTCAATCAGCTGTTGTAAGAAGAACTTTTATTGTAAATACATTCTAAAGGAGAGTTTAAACAAATCATTGTGGTTAACCATTAACATATTAATGTTTGTTTGCTATAACTTCCATTTTAAAATGTATAATATGTCTGATTACAAATTGTTTTGTTTTTTTCTACAGATTTTGAGGTTATGGGGAAAACATTGCTTTAAGAAAAAAAGTATTTACAACAAGAAATAGCTTCAATACTACAAATTTCACAGAAATCTGTAAACCGTATCAGCCAGGCTATTTAAAATGGGCAAGATTACAATTCTACGCAACAAGTAGTTGTGGACGTATATATTCTACGCAACAAGTAGTTGTGGATATATTTATATATATATATATATATATATATATATATATATATATATATATATATATATATATATATATATATATATATATATATATATATATATATATATATATATATATATATATATATATATATAGCACCTGCTGGCTTACTTTCATTAGAGGAGTTGCCACATCAAACAGACTTGATAAGAAGGAAAAATGTGGTAATTTATACTATCTCTATTTTTTTATACTATCTCTATTACTTTTACTATCTCTACTTTTTTAAATAATATAAAGATATATGAAAGTTTTAATGCTAATAAAATTTATGTTTTGTATTACAAAATGCGCTCTTAAAAGCTTGATATCTTAATATGCTGTGTTGTTGCAAATTTTTTATTGGATGCTTACAGTAAAATTATTAAAAAAAAAATTTTAAGTGTGTCTTTTTTTTTTGAATGAAAAATATTTTTAATGTGTGAACAAGGTGTTATTTTCCAATATTAACCACTTAATGTTAAAACAGTCTGCATATTTATAACTTTCAGTAGCCTCTTTAGTGTTTTAGTAGGACAATACTTAACATTTTATCTGATGCTTCATTGTAGTGTAACTTCTATAATAAAAACTCGAGGCTTTACTTTTTAAGATTATCAAACCACATGAGAAAATAATTCAAAATAATTTTATATCAACCCTCTTGGTAAAGCCAAAGCTTCTGTAATAAAAGAAGAAACAAAATAGATGTATGAAATCAATGATTTTAAATTTTCAAATTTGAAATCAAGTTTTAAAAAAGCTTTTAAAAAAAATTAAATAACTCCTTTGTAAATATCTTAGTAGTTACATGCTTCAAAGATTAGGTGTTGATGGGAAGTTCAACTTAGTGACATCACCTAATGCATTACAAACAGACAATATACCATGTGGAGTCTTTTGTCTTAAGGTAATTTTATTGAAACATCCGTAGTCAGGATAAATTTGAACATAATTTAAAAAATTAAAAAGTGCATTAAAAAATGTTGACTGAGTGTCAAAGCCAAATAATTTTTAAACAAAAAGATAAGGAAAAGCTTCAAATTACATAATAAGAACTTAAAAAAGACCTGCATGGTCAAAGCACTGCATATTAAAAACGCAAATCATAGGTTTACAGTGAATGGTATCACTGTTAGTTTATGATTTGCTGTGAAACTATTGAAGTTATGTAGTCAAAATTTTGAAGATTCAAAAATTTACTTAAAACGAATTAATGAAAATTGGCCATGACTTTTTTTAATTGCAGTTGTATCATTGAATTAAATCAAGTGTTAGTAAAAAATGTTTTTTTAGTTTGCTGAAAATTATTTATACGGGCACGAGTTGGCGCTTAACTTCACAATTGAAGATAATATAAAGTTTAGAAAGAGATCTCTTTGGAACTAGATCTCTTTCTAATAAGAAAATCTCTCTATACGGAAGATCTCTTTAAAACTCTTGATTTTTTTCTAAAAGATCTCTTTGAAGATGTTATAGAGTTTAGAAAGAGATCTCTCATGGAACGGCGCTGTTCCATGTTTCCAGACAGTAAAATTGCTGAAAGTTTCACATGTGTAAAAAAAATGCAGTTACATTTAGTGTCATGGTGTTGCCCTTTTTGTCAAAGTAACGGGGCTAAATGAATTAAACAAAGTCCCTTATTACACCACCTTATTTGATAAATCTTATAATAGAATATCTAAAAAAAGTCAAATAGATCTACATATTCGTTTTTGGGATGACTCAGACAATGAAGTAAAAACGTATATTGGAGTTCTGAGTTTATAGATAAGTGTAGAAAAATAAAAAAGAGATTAAGATTGCTTTTGAAATTCAAGAATTGAATATTAAAGTTCTTTCTTTGGAGAAATCAATTATTGAGCTTAATAAAGATGCTAATAACTTTGCATTCGAGGCAGAAAAAAAGAATGATACAACAATCTTATCTAAATGTAATGCCTTAAAAAGGGCTGCCATTGATTAAGAGAGCATTCTTTGTGAACTGAAATTCAAGCAAGTTAAGTTGGTAGAACTTAAAGAACGCGTTCATTAATCACAAATTTATGAGTTTTTTTTTTAGTCATTTAATAAAGTTCATAATTTCTTGATGTTAGTATAGTTTTAAAATACCCACTCCTGGTCTGAAAATCTGATTAACGTCTAAAAGCGCATTGAATTGTAAATTATTGCTTTAACAAATCCATACCAATTAACATGAAAAATAGCATTATTGAAACATGTCCGAACCACACAAGTGTGGAAACACGGATGATAAACCTCAGAGTAACTTAACAAAAATTTTAAACCAAGGAATTGTATACAAGAGGTTGACAATACCGATTTAATCAGAGTAATTTCTGCTTTTCAAAAAAGATTTTTTTTTTCAGTCTACCAAATGAAGTTTCAAACATATTTCAGCTATTGCAGGGGTTAATTTAAAACTCAGGGGCGGATCTAGGGTACGTCTAGTACGTCTTAAGATGTACCCAAAAAAATATTAAATAAATAAAAAAAAAATTAATTTACGTTTCAATTATAAAAATAACTTTTTTGGTTAAAATAAGATTTAATTTTATAGGCACTTGTGAAACAAGAAATACGAACGGTTCTTGTTTAAAGTTCTTGTTAAAAAGATATCTGTCTTTGCCGGAGGTTTAAGCAATTCTTGATAAATAATATTTAATTAAATAAACGAATGGACGTCCCCAATTTTATTTTATTATAAAATAAAAAATTATTTTAAATTTGTATTTAATTTGTTAAAACAATAAATAAATAATATCTTTACTGATAATTATTTTTGGACGTCCCCAATTTGGTACACCCTTATTAAAATATTGTCAAAATCTTTTGTTTTAAGACGATCAGGAGGTAAAACTAATGATAATATCCTATAAATAATAAGATACACCAATAGACGTCCCCAATATTATTTTATTTTATTATTTATCTTTATATTTAATTTAGTTTTCAATATTTAATTTCTAAATACTCGGTTTCTTTTATAAAAAAACACTGCCGGACGTCCCTTCGTTAATACACCCTGAAATACATGTCTTATTCCTAATATTTAAAATGTTGTTTAATGTTAAAAATTCAAGCATTTATTTGTGTGTTCGAGTATTAATTTAAAATGTCACTCAATCAAGAAGTTAAAAACATTATGCTACAAAATGATGAAACAAAATTGATCGCTTTGAAAGATATATTACAAAAAAATATTAGTTCTTGTAATAATACGATTCTTGTCGACTCTTTCGAAGAAGAAAAAACTCTTAAAAATTTTGAAATCTATCTGCCAAAGAGTTTTAAAGAAAAACATAATGGCAGTTATGTTGTTTTAAGGTAAAGGTATTTGTTCAAATTCCATGATTTTTTTAATAACTTTTTGGTTAGTTGTAATGTTATATTGACTGTAAGCTAGTTGAAAATACTTATAAATTTTTTATATAAGTTCATTAATTATTATATTTTATGTATATCTCAGGTCTCAATCAACTGGAAACTGTCTGTACAGTTCTATCTCCTTACGTCTTACTGGAAATAACTGTATAGTTAACGATTTAAGATTACAGACCTCAATTGAGCTATTCTTAAATGCCGAGTTTTATTCTAACCATCCAACTTTTCATTATGCTTTTATTAACAATACTAGCTCTTTTCTTTGCTATGATAACATTCTTCCTTTATCAGTATCACTAAATTCTTTGGATTCTGGAAAAAAAAGTAAAGATTTAGTTCAAGAAGAAGCTATTAACAATTGTAACAATGAAAACTGGTCTTCTTTCCTTTGTATTCTTGCATTATCAAGTGTTTGCAACAAGAAAATAGAATGTTTGTATCCAGATTTTGGTCTACAGAAGTATAAAATTTTATTCAGCTCAACTATTTTACCTCGTATAACTTCCTTAAACACTATTGAGTCTTTACATCTCCTTTTTTGTTATGAAGGTGTATTAAATGATTTTTCCGCTCCTTTTCAACACAACCATTATACCCCTGTGATAATAAAAGAAAACTTAAAACGAAAAAATTTAAACAAAAGCTGCAAAATGTTGCAGACTAAAATAAAATTTTATTTCGAGACCAAACATCAAGATAATAACTATTCGTTGGACAATTTAAAAAGTAAACCAATGGAAGTCTCTAGTCAACCCCCATTATCATTATCAAATTTTAGTAAAATTACATGTTGCGAATCATTTTCTTTACCTTCCAATAATTATGATATTGGTTATTTGGTTTCTAACTATACTAGTTATTCAAGTATTGCAAAAACCTTGAGTAATTCTGAACTTCAACATTTAGTTAAAGATGTTTTTGTACCTTGTAAAACATTTTCTTTTCCTAAAAATCTTAATGGGCGAAGTTTTCAATTTATGTGGATAGAAAAATTTCCATGGCTCACATATTCGAAAATATTCGATGGAGCCTTTTGTTTGCCATGTGTACTTTTTGGGTGTAATTTTCCATCTGAATGTAGTTTAGTCGAAAGATTATTTTGTAAGCCTTTTGATCGCTGGAATGATGCTTCTCGTTACTTTCAGAAACATGCATTTGGCAAAAACAATAATAAGTCTGTCTGCAGAAATAAAGGCTTACATGTAAAAACTGCTGAAGTTTTATTTTCATTGTCGTCGATTTGGTCTTCTAAAACAGAATCAATAGATATTACATCTCAAAAAATAGTTCAATCACAGGTTTCTAAAAACCGACAGTTATTACAACCAATTATTGAAACAATTATTCTCTGTGGACGTCTTGGTCTTTCTTTACGAGGCCATAGAGACAATTCAGAGTTTCATCCTGAAAATAGTGAGTCTTTTAATCATACTGTTGGAAATTTTATTGAATTATTACATTTTCGTGTTAAAGCTGGTGATAAAGTTCTTGAAGATCATCTTAAATATCATCAACAAAATGCTTCTTACATATCTAAGACATCACAAAATCAGTTAATAAGGTGTTGTGGAGAAGTTATTACTGACACAATAATAGGAGAAATTAAAAATTCTAAATATTTTTCTATTATTGCTGATGAAGCTTCTGACAGTTCAAACAAAGAACAGCTATCATTAGTTATACGGTTTGTTGATTCAAAGTTTAATATAAGAGAAGAATTTATCAGTTTTTTACATTGCACAAATGGTGTTACTGGTCAAGGATTATTTGATATTTTGTTAAAAAGTATTTCAGATTTTTCTTTAGATATAATGAATTGCAGAGGACAGTCATATGATGGTGCTGGAGCAATGGTTGGTCACACCAAAGGATTGTCCTCTCGTATTTTAATTCTAAATGAAAAAGCTACATTTGTTCATTGCTATAGCCATAGGCTTAATTTAGTTATTTGTGGCTCGTGCAATGTGCAATATGTCAAGAATCTTCTTTAAAAAAATTAAAAGATGTTTGCAGAACACGTTGGGTGGAAAAAGTAAATGGTTTAGATACTTTTCAAGAACTTTTTATTCCTTTGGTCTCTTGTCTTGAAGAAATGTCTTTAAATGCCAATAAGAGTTTTAATCATTCAACAGCTTCTAGTGCATCATCCCTTCTGAAACTAATTACAGGTTTTGATTTTATTGTTGCTATGTGCATAACAAGAAATGTGTTTGACTTAACTCTTCCCATAACGCGAATGTTGCAGTCAAAGAGTAATGATATTTATGATGGTTTGAATCTTATTCGGGCGTTAAAAGATGTTGTGATTTCACTTAGAAAGATCGTTGATCAACACCATAAAATGTGCTATGAACAGGCTTTAAAAATTGCACAAAGTATTAATGTAGCTGAAGCAAAGCCAAGAACTTCATTTATTTCCAAAAACAGAGATAATACTCCTTCTGAATCTATTTCTGATTATTTTAAGTTAGTTATCACGATTCCTTTATTAGACCATCTAAGTGTGGAACTAGACACAAGGTTTGATGATACTACCTTAAAATGTTATAAAGCACTTGTGCTAGTTCCTACAAAAATGATTTCAGTAGTGCAATGTTCTCATGACACCAGTTGGAAAGACTCCATCATATCTTTCAGTGACTTTTACGCAACAGACTTACCGAATCCGCTTGCTTTGTCTGGTGAGCTTGATTTATGGGAAGCCTTCTGGTTAAATTTTGAAGGAGATGTCCCTTCTAATATTTCCGAGACGTTAAAAGCGATAAATTTTCCTGGTTTTGAAAACATAAAAGTTTGTCTTAAGTTACTTGCTACCTTTCCATTAACTTCATGTGAGTGGTAGCGGACATTTTCTTCACTTCGGCGCCTAAAAAATTATATGCGAAGCACCATGGTTCAGGACCGTCTAAATGGTTTAGCATTAATGAATATTCATTCAGAAATAGTTATAGATATCAATAAAGTCATTGATAAGTTTGCCACTAATAATCGTAGATTAACTTTCAAATAAATATAAAATATATTTAAAAAAAAAATTTTTTTAATAAAAAAATGCAAAATACTAAAAAAAAACAGTGCAAAAAAAGTCAGCTTCTTTTGCCAATGGTAAAAAAAAACGGCTATTTTCATAGCCACACACTTTTATAAAACATTATTTGGCATGAAGGAATTATTAACATACATTGAGTTGCATACATGTTGGTTTCAGGTATATCGTTTTTTTTATGCTATGTTGAAATGATTATATTGTAAATGTTTTATCTTTTGAACTGATTTTTTCAGATTTTATATATTTTGCAAGCATCAATAGAATTAAGATTTTAAAATCTACTTTTGCTATGCAAAATAAAATACTAAGATTGTGGCAATTTCTGTATATATAATTCAACTTTAATTGTTATAATATATAGTTATTTCTGTTATTTATATTTGTTACAATATAAACAAATTATATAATTATTTACAATAAAAATATAAAATGTGTAAGTTTATAATTTAATAATGAAATGTGTAAATATAAATCTAGTTTGTCATAATAAGTTTGTAAATATTATGTAAACATAATTTTACTATGGTAAGGTGCCCAAGCGATATCCTTGCGTATTTTTAGGCCTATATATATATATATATATATATATATATATATATATATATATATATATATATATATATATATATATATATATATATATATATATATATATATATATATATATATATATTAACAGGGCCGTCACTAGGAGAGGGGGGTGTCTAACCCCTTACCAAAACTTTGTTGAAAAATTAGTCGGCAAATTTGGACTTGTAGTCTGCAAGTTTGGAACTATAGTCGGCATATGTCAGTAAACGAGAATCATACGTCACCTTCTCCCCCACCCCCTCCTCCTTTTTTTTCTTCGGGACGGCCCTGTAATATATCCCCTCCAACTCCAGAATAGTTGAGGGGGGGAGGGGGGAGAATGAAATGTTGCTCTTAAAAAATCAGATGTATCCAAATAATTTCCTTGATCCGCCCCTGAAACTTGTTTCCTATATCCTGATAATGCATCTCGCATCCAAGTCATGAATACTACAGACAGAAAGTTATTTTATGATGTTTGTTGACAAGCATGAACTAAACCTCTAATAAATTACAATCTTTGTTATTTTAGATAATAATACATCTGGCAGTTGTGTTAATGGGTTTTTCCTTAAATCAAGTTTTAATGGATTAACTAAAGGTGTTTGACCTGCTTAATTCATTCTTTAAGATATCAATTTACTGCGCAATTTCTTTTAGTTGATATGATATTGGAATTTTAACTAAAGTTTTATTTTGATGTGAAAATCTTGGTACATACTTTAGATAATATATTACTTATCTTCTCTGTAGAATTGGATTGTAGACAAAATAGCGTGGGTATCTCCAAATTAAGTTGTAGTAATTCAGATACCTGCACTTTAAATATTTTAAAACAATTTTTTTTTAAATGTGGTAACCTGTATGGGAAATTTGCGCTTAATCAAGCAACATCTAAAAAGTATTGATTTTTGTGCAAAGTTTTGTCACTGCCATAGAGACATACATTTAAAATATACGTATTTTAATTCTTAATTACAGGGGAAGCATAGCACCGCGGCCACATTTTCTTAGATATTTCCCACTCCTTCCGCCATATACTCAATACACCTTATTAATTCAATACTATTATGTTTCACTAATAATATTTGTTGAGTTTTCCTTTAGAATTTATGGCACCAAATTTTAAAAATAAATTTATATTTCAAATGCCATCAGTGAGAAAAAGTTTTATTGCAGTTCTTATGCTAAATTATTTTTATTGTTTTTTTTTTTTACTAAAGAACCAAAGCATTTAATTCTACAAACTAGTATTTTCATACTAGGGATGTTTACGAAAGGATCCCACTGCTCATTTGCCCTATTTCGGTCAATCGAAATAAAAAGCTATAAAAGCTTTGTTAAAACCGTAAAAATTAACTCCAGTTAGAGAAAAAGAGCTTTTTCAAACTGTCAGGGTGAACAAACTCATTTATATCTATAAATATTAGGAAAATATGTAAAAATATTAGGTCTTCACTCGTTAAGGGCAACTGGGCCAAAAACAATTAAAGCTCTGTAAAAAAAATAAAAATTAATTTTGGTTAAAAAAAGAGCTTTTTCAAACTGTCAGGGTAAACAAACTCATTTATAATTATAAATATTAGGAAAATATGTAAAAATATTAGGGCTTCACTCGTTCAGGGCAACTGGGCCAAAAACATCAAAGCTCTGTAAAAACAATAAAAATTAAATTTAGTTAAAAAAAGAGCTTTTTCAAACTGTCAGGGTGAACAAACTCATTTATATTTATAAATATTAGGAAAATATGTAAAAATATTAGGGCTTCACTCGTTCAGGGCAACTGGGCCAAAAACAATCAAAGCTCTGTAAAAACAATAAAAATTAATTTTAGTTAAAAAAAAGAGCTTTTTCAAATTGTCAGAATAAAGAAATTTATTAATATTTATAAATATTAGTTAAATATGTTAATATTCACACGGACTATTTTCCCAATTTGAGGCAAATTGGGCCAAGAGTACAAAAAACTTTTTTAAAACCGTAAAAATTAATTTAAGTTAAAGAAAAAGAGCTTTTCAAACTGTCAGAGTAAACAAAATTATTTTCATTTATAAATATCAAGAAAATATATACAAATTTAAGGCTAATTTAACCCATTCAGGGTTATTGGGTCAAGAACAATCAATGCTCTGTAAAATTAATTTTAGTTAAATAAAAGACCTTTTTCAAATTATCAAGTTGAACAAATTCATTTTTATTTATAATTATTAAGAAAATATATGAAAATGCAAAGAGCTCGTTTTCCCATTTTGGGGCAAATTGGGCCAAGCGTACAAAAAGCTCGGTTAAAACTGTAAATATTAACTTTAGTTTCAATGTTTCAGAGTAAACATATTCATTTACATTTATAAATATTTAAAAAGTATGTAAAAATTTCAGGTCTAATTTTCAATATCGAGGTAATTGGACCAAAACAATAAAAGATCTGTAAAAATAATAAAAATTAAATTTAGTTAAAGATTAAGAGATTTTTCATATTGTCAGAGTAAACAAGTTCATACCCATTTATAACAATTAAAAATATAAATAAGAATCTTAGTGCTCATTTGCCTCATTTGGGGCAGTTGGGTCAAAGACAATGAAACTTCTGTAAAAGCCAAAAAAATAAACTTTAGTTAAAGAACAAGAACTTTTTAATATTGTAAGAGTAAACAAATGCATATACATTCAAATTTTCTGGAAATAAATGTCTTTGTAAACCATAGAAATACAATGTCTTGCTTTGTACAACTACTGACTGAAACACTCCATGCACTTTTCTCTGGGGCATTTTCAAATTTAAAACTCATAAGAGACTTTTTTTAGCAACTATTTTCCAGGACAATAATCAAACTGCATCCCAGTCTCATCAGTGTGGTGTCTGGAGTAGGTTGTTTTCCGTTAACACATTTTTAAGAATGGAAAAAAATTTCAACACTTTACAAACATTCACATACTGATGTCTAATTGCTGCTGTACCTTCTGGTTGAAGTCAAGTTAAATCTTTGTGCTTTTAGCAGATCCCACGCCACCATTTTTTGTAGAAGTTCCATTCTTGATTGCTTTTTATGCTTTAATGCAAAGTTTTCATCATATTTAGAAATATATATATATATATATATATATATATATATATATATATATATATATATATATATATATATATATATATATATATATATATATATATATATATTATTTACTTACACATATCTGTGTAAGTGATTAATTATAAAAACTATGCATTAACCAGAATTATCAAGACTTATCATGGCTATAAAATATGTTGTAAGATTGTATACAAAAATATACACAAAAAAAGAAGTACGTTATTTTAAAAAATCATAATATTAGTAGCAATTTAAAAGATTTATAAACGCAAAATGTTTGAATGTAAACAGGAAAACTTTGAAAATACTAAACATCGAGTATACAGATTATAAAATTTATCAAAGTTAAAAAAAAAGTGTTCAGAGCAGTTATGTAGTCAATAAGTACTATTAACTGCATAATTTTAAAATATAAAGTCTAGATATTGCATTTTTACTTAAAAGCAATCAATACAACCCTGCATTAAAGATTTTTTTGAAAATCGGCTAGAATATAGGTTGAACGGAGTACCATAATGAGGTCAAGAAAAATATCGAAAAAATAATTTAGTCTTATTTTTTATTTGTAACGTCTAGATTTAAAAAACAAATTAGTATAAAAATAAGTATCAAATATTGCTAAATAATCTTTTTTGATGTGCAAGAACCCTAAAAAAACAATTAAAAACAGTATATACCCAGTGGGAAAGAAGACATCTTTAGACGAATAAAAGGCGTCTTTTCTATTACTTGTTATGTCTTTTTATAATCAGCCAAAATAAAAACGTGGAAAGACGTCTTTTAAAAAGACGTCTTCAAAAAAGAGGTCGAAAAGACGTCAATCGGTTGTTAATAAGGAAATCATTATTTGCTTAAGAAAATTAAAAATAATTATTGCCAATAGAACCTAACAAAAATGAGTTTTAACCCATTGTATCGTAGTTACGATATCTTTGTTACGTTCTGATTGGCCCGTTTTTTGTTTACAAAATACTTATATATAATTTTTATGTGAAACGTTTTTGCATAGGAAATTTAATTAAAAATTAACTTTTGTCGGTAAGCGGGTTTATTTAATAATTTATATATTAAAATAATATATTATGTAAAATATACATAATATAAATGCATATTTATATTATAGTGTATATATATATATATATATATATATATATATATATATATATATATATATATATATATATATATATATATATATATATATATATATATATATATATATATATATATATATATATATATATATATATATATATATATATATATATATATATATATATATGTATATATATATATATATATATATATATATATATATATATATATATATATATATATATGTATATATATA